GAAAACGAGTTTTGGGATTGTGGGCTGAAAGCTGTTCGCACCGGCTGTTGGTGTTTTCGTTGACATTTATTTCATCCTTTGTTTACTGTTTTGCTACGAAAAAAAAAAAAATCAAAATCTTTGTCATTCATTTTCTTATCATTAGCAATCTTTCTTTTGTTCATATTTAGATTTTGCCCGCCAATTGACAATAAATCCCAACTAGCGTATTAGAGATGATAAAATATGACTTCCACTTCGATAAATATATCTAAAATACTGGTCCGGTTAAATACAACGACTGCTTTATCGACAATTGTTATATGCATGATGTCAAAAACATCAATAATGGTGTTAACCGGGAGGTAGTGATAACCAGACATTGAACAAGGCTATAAAATATACAGTCAGCGTCAAAAATACGAATACCCTGAAGTTTTGACGATTTTATTCATTTATATTTCAGGAATTTAGATTTTTATAGTTGTGGTTATAGTAAGACATAAAACTAATTTCTTTCTCAATATTATTATGGCGTTCTAATATTTATTTCAATATTATTTATTAGCTTTGTATCACGATTACGTTTGTTTAGGTGGATAGGTAGTTGAACAATGCAAACACTGCTTAAGACTTAAATATTTACTCAAATTTGAGTTTCAATTGTTCAACTTTATAAATTACGTATAGTCAAATAATTAAATGCCAGAAATTGCATAAAATATAAAATTGTCCTCATGAAACACATGGCGCAAAGTTGCCCAATTGGCCAAATATGAAACGTGCGCGTATATATGAGTACCTTTAATGTAAATCTGTATTTGAGCCTGTTTTGTGCGCATTTTTACATTCTTAACAAAGTTTTCAGGTCTAATTTTGTTATAAGCATAAAAATGTTTGGTAATTCTGGTAATGAAAGTGGAATTTTACTACATCCACAGACCTAAAGTATGTAGTATTGAAAAGTGTAACTTCTGCAAGCACTTGGAAATTCTTAAAGGTTGTGGCAAACTAGCGATGGCAGTACGTTGTTGTTGTAAGAGCATGTAAATGCCCCAAAGAGATTTTGGGGTTCAAACCCCCCTAAAGCTAATAACCTCAAATACAATATGTATCTAAAGCTAAGAATCCAGCTCTCAAGGAAATTATAAGAAATATTTATTATAATTTCTGTTGCTTGAAAAAGCGCGAAAATATACGAGCTTTTTTTCTTGAGAGCTGCAAATTGATTTAAGAAATTTTGGTAGAAGAATATTTCTTTTCCATTTCTCGTCCGTCGTTTTATATGAATTTTTCGTTTTTCTTGAGAGTTCAGTTAATTTTTTCGGTATTTGAAATATTAAAAAAATTTAGCAATTGTGAAAAATCACCAACTCTATCGAAAACCAGAAATCAAAAAATAAACATAGAAGTGCAAAAATTCATGGAATCAATAAATTTATTTTTACTGACTCTTTTTTTAAATTTTTGATTAGGTACTTTTGAAAGTTGAGCGCATATTGAGTTTATAGAACTTTTTATTAAACAAGTAGTTTTTAAGGAAAGAACACAACCGACTTCAATTCTCATATTCAAATTTTGGGGTACCATTAATTTCTTCATGACCCAATCGTCGGATCTCTAAAACAAATTACGGGACGAACCTTGAGGTACTATCTTACTAATAAAAAAAAGATTATTGAAAACGGTTCACGTGGTCCAAAGTTATGTATTCCGGCGAGATGTAACCTCCCTTTTTTTGAAGTCGGTTAAAAGCGTATTTATTTATTACATACTGTACATAAAACTTGCCAAATGTATTTTAAAGAGGGTATTATCTGAAGCAAATTTTCAGCATTTTCCGGTGATATATCTTCAGAAATATAAAACCCCCCTAAAATATATTCCTGGGTGCGCCCCTGCGCTGGAGTGACAGTCCTTGGCCAGATATAAACCTGGGTCGTTTCGGTTACGTAGACCCGACTGTCGTGTGAATGCATTGCAGAAGGGGGTTCGATCGTTCCTTTAATTTCTCCGATTAACACTCTTCTTCCAATCATTACTAGAGTTTCTTCCAAAGTTCAATTCAATTCAATTTCAATGCTTTATTTAATCAACATTTAAGTATGTTTTTACAATATTTTTGTAACTTTTACACTACATATGCATTTTTTTTTGTGCTAACAAACTAGTTATAATTAAAAATGTGTAAAATTTACTATTATTAAACTATGACTTCGGTCTCACCTATTTTTTTTTTTAAATTCGATATCAAATTTTAATAATGTCATTCTTTCCACTTAGCGTTCAAATCTAACAACAATGGAGAACGGAAGTGGTAGTGTTGCTGGGAGCGGTACCTCCATTGAGAAAATGTACCAAAAGAAGTCTCAATTGGAGCATATTCTATTGCGTCCCGATACGTATATTGGTTCAGTGGAGGCCGTTACCGAAACCATGTGGGTGTATAACGAAGAAAAAAATCGCATGATACAGCGGCAAGTAACGTATGTGCCCGGATTGTATAAGATTTTCGATGAAATTCTTGTAAATGCCGCCGATAACAAACAACGCGACAAATCAATGAATACAATCAAGATTGATATTGACGCAGAAAAGAATACCATCTCAATTTGGAATAATGGACAAGGAATACCGGTTACCATTCACAAGGAGCATAAAATGTATGTGCCAGAGATGATTTTTGGTCATCTGTTGACTTCGTCGAATTACAACGATGATGAAAAGAAAGTGACTGGTGGACGCAATGGTTATGGCGCAAAGCTGTGTAATATTTTCTCCACAAGTTTCACTGTGGAAACAGCCACTAAGGAGTATAAGAAAAATTTTAAACAAATTTGGGCTAACAATATGTCGAAAACCACACCGCCAAAGGTAAGATCTTTATTTGCGATGCCTTAAAAAATCTTTTCTTTTTTTAATATATTTTTTTACTAGATCAAGGAATTTGCTGGTACTGATTTTACACGAATTACATTCAGTCCTGACTTGTCTAAGTTCAAAATGGAAAGACTCGATGATGATATTGTGGCTTTGATGTGTCGTCGTGCTTATGACATTGCCGCCGCAACAAAAGGTGTAGCTGTGTATTTGAATGGCAAAAAATTGCCAGTAAAGAATTTTAAAGATTACATTGACTTGTATGTAAAGAATACTGAAGAATCTGGACAACCAATAAAAATTGTTTACGAACAAGCTGGTGAACGTTGGGAGGTGGCATGTTGTCCTTCAGACAATAATTTTCAACAAGTCTCTTTCGTCAATTCAATCGCCACAACAAAGGGTGGACGACACGTTGACTATGTAGTTGATATGATCACCAAACAATTAATTGAAGTTGTGAAGAAGAAGAACAAAGGTCATTATAAAAATAATAATTTGTTAGGAGTATTTTTCAATCTGTGTGCTTTTTATCGCAGGTGGTATTAATATTAAGCCGTTTCAAGTAAAAAATCACATGTGGGTGTTCATTAACTGTTTAATCGAGAATCCCACATTCGATTCGCAAACTAAAGAGAATATGACATTGCAATCCAAAAGCTTTGGATCCAAATGCGTTCTATCAGAAAAATTTATTTCGAACGTATCAAAGTCTGGTATTGTCGAAGCAGTATTGTCTTGGGCAAAATTTAAGGCGCAGAGCGAAATCGATAAGAAGGGTGGCAAGAAATCGTCCAAAATAAAGAATTTGCCAAAGCTTGAAGATGCGAATGAAGCTGGAAAATCCAATTCATATTTATGTACACTTATCTTAACTGAGGGAGACTCAGCCAAATCTTTGGCTGTATCCGGTCTTGGAGTTATTGGACGTGATCTGTATGGTGTATTTCCGTTGCGTGGTAAACTTTTGAATGTACGCGAAGCTTCCTTTAAACAACTAGCTGAAAATGCTGAAATCAATAATCTTGTGAAGATTATCGGTTTGCAATACAAAAAAAAATACACGACCGTTGACGACTTGAAAACTTTACGTTATGGCAAAGTAATGATAATGACGGATCAGGATCAGGACGGTTCACATATAAAGGGACTTCTAATTAATTTTATACATACCAATTGGCCAGAATTGCTGCGTCTGCCATTCCTTGAGGAATTCATTACGCCGATTGTCAAAGCTTCCAAGAAAGATCATGTACTATCCTTCTATTCGCTACCAGAGTTCGAAGAATGGCAGAACGATACGCCAAATCATAGCACATACAATGTCAAATACTACAAAGGTAATGTTTTTTTTTTTTGTAATGCGAATGTAGCAATGATGAATGCACAACAAAAACTTATAAAAGGGCTATGTTTTTTTTTAAGGTTTGGGTACCTCTACTTCTAAGGAGGCTAAAGAATATTTCCAAGACATGGAACGTCATCGGATCACATTCAAGTATGATGGTAGTGTCGATGATGATGCCATTGTTATGGCTTTCTCAAAAAAACATGTAGATGCGCGTAAGGAATGGTTAACATCGCATATGGACGAAGTGAAGCGCAGAAAGTTACTCGGTTTACCGGAACGCTATCTGTACACCAAGGGCACCAAGCACATTACCTACTCGGATTTTGTTAATCTTGAATTGATACTCTTCTCAAATGCTGACAATGTTCGTTCCATACCATGCCTCGTAGATGGATTTAAGCCCGGTCAGCGAAAGGTCATGTTCACATGTTTTAAACGTAACGATAAACGCGAAGTCAAAGTGGCGCAATTGTCTGGCTCAGTGGCTGAAATGTCTGCCTATCATCACGGCGAGATGTCGCTTCAGGCCACCATTATTAATTTGGCACAAAATTATGTTGGGTCGAACAATATTAATTTATTGGAGCCTCGCGGTCAATTTGGTACACGTCTACAAGGCGGAAAGGATTGTGCCAGTTCTCGTTATATTTTCACTCTGATGTCACCATTAACAAGACTTATATTCCACCCCTCCGACGACCCACTACTAACTTATGAAGTCGATGACGGACAAAAGATTGAACCGACATGGTATGTGCCAATAATACCGATGGTTTTGGTGAACGGCGCTGATGGTATTGGAACTGGTTGGTCCACAAAGATTTACAATCACAATCCTCGCGATATTCTACAGAACATTCGGAGAATGTTGGCCAAAGAGGAACCCTTACCAATGCACCCATGGTAAGTACATTTCTCCATAGATAATCAGCCTTATTGCGTAAGTCGTAAATTATACTAAATTGTACTACTCGTCAACATTGGCATTGCCTACTGTCTTTCTGAAATAAGTAAACGACGAAAAGCGTTAAAAACTATCCAATACTACAATACAGACCTCGCAACTAAGGACTTTGTACCGTTAACTTATAGGTCCAATAACAACTGTGTTTCAGATATTTGGTCTTGCTTTAACCGAATTTACGTAGCCAGAATCGTGAAATTTTGTGGGCAATTTTATTTTTGAAACATTTTCATATATGAGTTTTTGTTTTAATACAAATCCTCGATTAAGTATGACACTTTGAAATCGAAAAATGTTTGTTAAAAATTTCAATAATAGATCTCCGAAATAGCAGATATAACTTCTACCATGTGTAAATTATTGTGGTTTTTCCACAACATGTTCTATCAGAAACGGCCTCAAGTTTAATAAAATTGTTGATAATAATAGATAAAAATAAATTTTCTTATATTCATAAATAATATCGGAATTACCCACACAGCACTGCCTATACTTGTTTTAATTCGCTTCGTTCTTTTGTGAAGGTACAAGAATTTCAAGGGTAGCATTGATTACGTTTCTGATGGCCGCTACATTTCATCCGGTAACATACAAATTGTTCAAAACAATAAAATAGAAATCTCTGAGTTACCTGTTGGTACTTGGACCCAATCGTACAAAGAAAGTGTACTGGATGTGCTTTCCAACGGCGAAAAAAATAAAGCTGTTGTGGCCGATTATCGAGAGTATCATACTGATACAACAGTTCGATTTGTGATTACATTTACACCTGGTGAATTCGAACGTTTACAAGAAGAGGATGGCGGCTTTCATCGCGTATTCAAATTAACGTCTTCAATGTCCACTAATCAAATGCACTGTTTCGACCAGAACAACTGCTTACGCCGTTTCCCCACCGCGATAGACATTCTGAAAGAGTACTTCCCAGTGCGTTTGGAATTTTATAACAAACGCAAGGAATATCTAATGGGGCAGTTGACTGCTCAGGCGGAACGTTTGACCGATCAGGCCCGCTTCATAATGGAAAAATGTGATCGCACGATTGTTGTTGAGAATAAAAAGAGGAAAGTCATGATAGACGAGCTGATCAAGCGTGGTTATAAACCTGATCCTGTGAAAGAATGGCAACGCCGCATAAAAATGGAAGATGAGGAGGAACCGGATGAGGAAGAAGAAGAGGAAGCGCAGGACACTACATCTTCGACAGTAAAGAAAGAGAAAAAACCTGGCGATCCAGAAAAGGCATTCAATAAATTAACCGATGTCAAGAAATTTGATTATTTGCTCGGAATGTCCATGTGGATGCTTACGGAAGAGAAGAAAAATGAATTGTTGAAGCAGCGCGACATAAAGTTAGCAGAGCTTGCGGCTCTGAAAGCTAAAACTATTGAAGCATTGTGGCTGGACGATCTAGACGATTTGGAAAAGAAACTTGATGAACTCGAAGAACGTGAACGCCTAGAGGAATTGGGCATCAATAAAAAACAGGCAAAGGCCTTGTCTGCTAAAGCTAAAGCGTTGACTGGTACTTTGAAGAAGCGTGCTGCTAAGGGCGGTAATGATAACATTTTCCCAGATCCCCATGGAGTTAAGATTGAATTCAAGGTAGGCGTTTACATAAGTGGCTTGCCTCATTATGCATAGCATAACTTTTATTTGGATATTTCAGGTTACCGAGGAAATAATGAAGAAGATTTCAACTGCGGTGGCGGCAGCCTCCAGACCGAAAGTTAAGAAAGAAAAGGTAGAAAAAGGTGCGAAAGGCGCCAAGGGCGATGAAATTGATGAGTTTGATGCAATGGTTGAAGGTGGTGCTAAGGGGCCGAAAGGTTCGCCTGAAGCTATGAAAAAGACAAAGGCTAAGGCAGCAGGAGCTGATGGGGACGGGGAAAAGAAAAAGAAAGTTCGCAAACCGAAAGCAGATGGATTGAAACAATCTAAACTAAACTTCGGCAAAGGGGTAGGATTTTGGGATATGACTTTATTGTGAACGGTTGTTAAAATTTTGTCTGGGTTTTTCCAACAGCGTAAAAAGAAGCGTGGATCTTCGGACGAAGAAGATTTGGCATCAGGAAGCGATGTCGAAATGAATGTTGCAGTTGCTCCACGCGCCGACCGACCGGGACGAAGGGCAACTGCCAAGAAAATCAATTATTCTGGCCTTCTAAACAGCGATGAGGAACAAAGTAGTGATGGCGAGCTAGTGTTCAGAGATAATGAAGGTGTCAAAGAACACTCACATCACGTGGCACATATGTCAGATGCCGAAAATGGAAGCGATGCGCAAATTATCAGTGACTCGGACTCCACACCAGCCAAGAAAAAACCAACAGCGAAACGTCCACGAAAGAAGGCGATGACAAGTGATAGCGACAGTGACAAAAAGGTGAGAACTCTTATTATTTAGATACATTTTCGTACTCTTAAGGACCGATTTCTCAGGTAGCTTTTAAAATTTATCCGCACTTTAAACACAAATTTCGTTCTGAAAGAAGGTATTTAAAGTTCAGATTAATTTTAAAATCTACTTAAGAAAAAGTTTACAGAAGCATTTTTTAGAAATTGAGTAATAAAAAACTTACAATCTGTTACATTGTTTTAATTATTTTTTTCAGAAAAAGAAGAAAAGGATTGTTGTCTCCGCCAGTGAGGATGACGATTCGGATTTTGAGTGATAAGCATATTCAACTTAATACTAAAAATAAGAGTTGTGCAAATGAGTCTGTTAGAAAGAAAATAGACGAGAGCCAAGAAAAGGTGGAACAAAGAAAATGAAAAGAAAAGAAAAGTTTGAGTTATCACACCATAATTTAAATGTTTTCTAAACATTCACGTTGTATCAATCGTCACTATTCATATTCCCACCGCCTACCCTTAATAGCACGTGCATTCAAGCAAAAATATCGGATTCAAAAAGGATCATTGGATTACGTTCAGCATTTCCCTGAACCCATATTGTGTATCACAATTTAGAATATTGCTGGTTTATTTTCGTTTTAAAACAATAAGCATATTCTTTTTATTAAAAACATCTATCGCATCCTGCAAAAAGAATAGCATATTTCTGTTACCTAAATTGGTTTTTATATGTTCGTATTTCAATGTCAATATTTCAATTTACAATTAAACTAATAATTGCGGTTGTCGCCTTTAAAGACCGGATGAAATTAAATCGTTTGTCTTTGCCTCTAGAGCACTTGTTTAAGTTTTTTTAAGTATTTTCAAGATTTAGATTTTAAATGTAAATATAAATGATTTAACTTAAAATGTCCCTTTTCGGCTTATTTGCGTGAATGTTCCATGAAACATGCAAGCTACAAGCATGTGAAAAGAATGCATATTTTAATAGTATTTTTATGAGAACTATCGAAACAAATTGAAGAGTTTGTATCGGAAAAATACGTTTTTTATAAATTCATGTTTTCGCGTAAATTTTACTTTTTTGTGTATTTCAACAATTAGTGAAACTCACAAAAGTTTGGGTAACAATTTCCATTCGAAACCAAATTTAACTTACATTCTCGAAATATCCATAAGATATATGTATTAATGTAACTGAAAAATCCACAGACGGATTTGAAGATGGAACATTGCACATATTATTAAGTATTACCAATTAAGGTTATACTTAAACACTATCACTCAATATACTACAAATAAAATACATTTTATTAAAGCCAAACAGAAATGAGCTGATTTACTGAGTTTTTTTGTTATACCCATATTCAAAATTCAAGTTTTTTTTAATTTTTAATTATCCTTTCTAGTCATCATTGTACATACATACATACATACATGCATGTATTTACACTGGAATTTTTTTTTTGTTTTAGTTTTTTTCCTCTGAAATTTTAGGTATTTTTATGTGTTCATGTTTTTGCCTCTTAAGTGCAATGCGATGTCAAAGTTAGGGTGCGTTCGAAATGCATCAAGCCAAAGCATCAGTCCCTTTTATTACAACAACGCTTTTATCAACTTGCAATGTTGTATGTCCAGACACCTTTACTTAATTATAGATTATAATTACGGTGACAATATTTATGGGAGCATTATTTATTATATTTAAAATTTGTTCCACAACAGCTTACAGATCTTAAAGCATTCTTCAATGATCCTAGATCACTGATGGGCACTGCCTTGCCAAAGCTCTCTTAAGCTTTCTATACATTTTGTATAGGCACGAGCAGAGTAAAAGCTCTCTGCCCATCGCTGTCCTAGATGTATTGGCCCTGAAACAGTATCCTTATTGTAACATAACGAATTTGTAGGATAATGTTCTCGAGATTTTTACCCCGTTGAAAATCCATTAAATTTTAGTATAATAAAGTGCAATTTTAAGTCGCCAAGGCTTACCAATAATTTTTGGCATTTTTTTTTTTGACGGTGTTACGAATTTTTTCTCATACAAAGTATGAGCGACCATTTTTTTAAAAGAGGAGCAAATGGGCTGCACTTTCTACTCGCACTTTATAATACTCAATTTTAATGAGTTATAAAATTGCAAACCAAACTTTCCTAAAGATTCTGATTAAAAAGATTGAAAGTTTGGTGTAACCGTGCAGAAATAATTTTGACAGTTTTTTGCACAAAGTTGGAAATTTGTATTATATGGGTTTTGTTAGGAAAAAAGCTTTACTTTCATAAAATAAATACTAAACATTAAATAAACTAAGGAAAAATAGCCAAAACATACTAAAATGTCGAGTCCCAATATCTATTTTGGTCACTGTACGTATTCCTCGATTCGAATCACAGGCGTTCACAGATTAGAAAATAATGACTGTTTATGGAGAAAATTAGGATCATATACCAACATCATTTAAAACTCCTTCATAGGCATGGCATTTTAATGAGCTGTTAAGGCGTCGAAACACCGAATACGGGCCAAATACAGAACATTTGACGTACCGTATAAAATAAATTACCAGGACAATGGGTCAAAGACTGTCCCGTATGATACAGGACGGATGGTCACCGTAATTATAAACAAAGTTCCTATAAAAAAGTCTACGGTATCAACATCGTATATGGTATATGTCGCCTAAGCGGAAGTGCTTAAATATTGCGCCTAAAATATGCACTACAACGCTACAGCGCAAATGGACGACACGCCATTTCTTTAAATGAAACTAATTGGTGCTTGTATGTATGTATGCGTAATAAGTATAATTTGTTAATAATTGATCACGATTTTAACTTTAAACGAAAAGTTTTAACTCCAAAGGAAACTCGATAGTAACGATATTCTTTCGTACGGTCTATAGATTTACGTTCATTGTAATGATCTTATACGTTAAAGCATACCTACATAGGTGTAAATCTGTTTTAGTTGTTTTTTTTACTTAACGGAGTATCACCCTGTACCACAAATTGACAGCCCAAGGCGAATTTATACAAATTGTGTTGCCGTGTTGCGACTAAAGGCCAATTTGATCCTTTTTAAGCGCCAATACCCTTTGACTCGACTTTTTAATAATTTAGATTTTTTTACCCTTTTCCAAAATTATGTGCGATTTTTGCCCCTTTCAGTGATTTTTCAATGAAATTTTATTAGAACCATTCTTTTATAAAATATTTCCTCCTGTAATTACGAAAAAATTCATCTTTTATAACTTCAATGCAACTCTTTTGTGTGTATGTTTGCAACCGTGTTTTAGGAAAATCTTGTCCCGCTATTTTATTTTTAAATTCAGCAGCGGAATGTTTTAGCAGCGTAAATACTTAATGTAAATTAGATTTTGACTTTGGTTCTCAGATTTATTCTTTAACTAGTAAAGAAGACCAAAATAATAATGTGACACTGTTTTCGTCAATTACACCTTTTTTGTGACTTTCTGAAAATTCTCAACGGCAACACTACTTGGACAGCTGCAAGACGGCGGCGAAAACCGGCTTGTTTTGTAGGTTATTCCGAAGCGAACTAATGAACATTTGAAATTCGCTACAGCATTCTGCGAAATAGTTTAGTAATTTTGAATAATGGCAAATTTTAATTTCCAAACAATTGCGCAGGAGTTGAATGAGGTCCAGGAAGAGGGGCTTTCATTTGAGGATAAACAGTTAACGTGGGATACGGCAGATGATGGTAAGAGCTCAAGTAAACTTTTATATTGAATATGCTCATGAACCCCGTCTTTTGGCGTGCTGTACTTCTTACCTAGTTGCTGATATTGTTAAGGCTTTGGAAACAACAAAGATTGTACACTACCTTAAATTAGGTGGTAATACATTAGGTATAGACGCAGCAGCTGCCATCGGTAGTGGGCTTGAAAAGCATCCCGAGTTTCGTAAAGCGCTATGGTATAATATGTTTTCACGACGCCTAAAGACGGAGACACCAACTTCCTTGAAGCACTTGGGAAAGGGTTTAATGGTTGCTGGAGCAAAACTAACAGTTTTGGATTTGAGTGATAATGCCCTTGGCCCCAATGGCATGGCTGGACTTGAGGACTTGTTGCGTTCACCGGTTGTCTACTCACTAAAAGTGTTGCGTCTAAACAATTGCGGATTGGGTATTGGCGGCGGACAAATGCTTTCAAAAGCCATATTGGATTGCCATAAGAGCAGTGTTGCTGCCGGCACACCACTTCAATTGAAAATTTTTATTGCTGGTCGCAATCGGTTAGAAAACGATGGTGCTAAAGCTATTGCGAAAATATTCTCAGCTCTGAAAACACTAGAAGAAATAGCAATGCCTCAAAACTCGATATATCATGTCGGAATTGCTGCATTGGCTGCCGGCTTCAAAGAGAATCCCAATTTGCGTATACTGAACTTGAATGACAATACTGTGACTGAGAAAGGGGCTGCATCTTTGGCAGAAGCATTTGCCTATACACCTATGTAAATGAATGAAGTTAATAATAACGAGCAAATTAATGCTTTGATTTTGTAACAGGTTGCAAGAAATCAATTTTGGCGATTGCTTGTTAAAAACGCATGGCGCTTATCACTTCGCTGAATCGTTGACTGAAAATCATCTTCTGCTAGAGGTCGTAGATTTGGGCTTCAATGAAATTGGCGCTGATGGAGGAGTTGTGTTAGCCGAAGCGTTACAGAACAAGCCTAATCTTAAAAGAATCAATTTGGACGGAAACCAGGCAAGCTTTTTCATATTTTTAATTATAAATTTTTTTTTGAAAAACAACATGATACAAATTCTTCCAAGTCTTGACTGTCCTGGAAACGACGGTTAAAACGTTTTAACGACGGCCGCCACATGCACATACATATGTATCATTGTACAAATGTATGTACATAGGTATATACATATATCCAAGAACGTCAACATCCTACATCGTTTTCCAGTTACGTTAATAATACATATATTTGTAGTTACCATTCTAATGTTAGAGATTGCATTTTAGTGTGGTCGTGCGAAGGAATTATTTATTTATTTACGTATAGGTAAAATTTTCTGTTACGAAATTGGGGCTTACTGTAGCACTGATAAAAATTGTAACTCGAACAAGCCAGAGCATTATTCAAAATTTGTTAACAACGACACACTACCTGGTGAATATTGTTATAAGATGCTGCGGCTGGAAAGTATTTTTGTGGTCCCTCCTAAAACGAATGGCTTCATTCATAAAAATAAAATAGTAGAAACTATTTCTGTGTTCCATCCCAAAACTATAATTCAGAAAAAATTAAATTGGTTTAAATAGCTTTATGCTGCATTTACATTTTGATTCCATTCCAAAACTCTCATTCATAAAAAATAAAATATATTTTAAAAGCTTCATGAAGTGAGATTTTCAAACAAATTTTCGATTTATGAAGCATTTTTAATTTTTCAACTTATGTGCTAACTAATAGTTTTAGATGTTGTGAGAGGATTCGATATTTATTAAAAGATTTCGTATTATTTCGGTTTTGTCTTATTTTCGGTGCCACTTTTGGACTTAGCAAATTTTCTTTTCAATGAATATAAGCGAGAAAATATAAAACGAGTGCCTTAATCCTTTTCGAAGCGATGCATTTTTAACATATCTTGCTTCTTATATCAAAGTATGCGTTTTCATAAAAAGTTGACTTGCAACTTTTCACTCCAAGCCAGCGAAATACTTTCGTTTGATACCCATATTCTAATATTTAGCTTATCTTATCAATTTAACTGAATTAAATTTTTCAAATACATAGTAGGTACCCGCTTCAAATATATTATCTAGAGTAAACTTCCTTAAACCACTTTAGTTTGATGACGGTATTGTAATATTTCATTTATTTTATCAAATTAATCGAATGAAATTTTTGAAACAGGGGTCAAACTTCCTTAAATATATTTTCAGCAGTAAACTTCACAAAAATATTTTCAGCTGTAAAGCTCTTTAAACCTTTTTCTTTTGACAGCCAGTCGCACTATTTATTTTGTCATCAATTTACTTAAACTGAAATTTTCAAACAGGTGGCAACTCACTATTTTTTTATGTATTTTAAGTTAGGCCTCTAGCAATACATCGTTGAATACTGCAGTCAATGTCCTGCATTAGTTTTTGAGTGATGCGCGTACAAACATATAGACAAAAAAATTAAAAAAATTGTTGATTTGGCTTCTCTTGCTCTAAAAAGACGCCCCCTCCTCCCCTCCCCACCATATAAATAATGTAGAGACATATCCACCTGTTTCAATTTCATTGAATGTATACAGCCTGATTCTGAAAAGAAACTCCCTGGGAGTTTTCTCTCTTTTACCT